CGTCCTCCTCCGTCCTCCTCCTCCTCCTCCTCCTCCTCCTCCTCCTCCTCCTCCTCCTCCTCCTCCCCCTCTCCAGGGATCCAGCAACTGGTTGGAGGGTGGGGGGACGGGGGGCGGGAGGGGGCGAGCTCCTCAACGCACGCCCGGGGCCTTCGACGCCCCTCCAGCTCCCTTCCTGGACGCCTCCGGGATGCCCGAGGTGCCTCAGGAAGGCGGCTCCGGAGGGAAGCCTGCCAGGACAGCGGGCCCAACGATGGCTCCAAGTGGTCACGGAACCTGCCGATGATGCCCCCGAGAGGCAGAAGCACTGACACAACACGTGGTGCTCAACATGCTCTGCCTTTTCCGCCAGTCCACTTCTGGTGGGCCTCGGAAGCCTCAGGGTGGCTTCACGATCGCCCAGGAAAGCCGCACGAGAGGCCCAATGCTCGGCCTCCAAGCGGTTAGCCTGAACTAGTAGCCCCTCTTGTTGGGCCGATGGCACCCAGGATGGCTCCAAGGGGCACCCCAAAAGCTCCAAGCCAGCCTCAAAGGCTCCCAGAGGTTTCCAAACTCAGCATGATTGGCCTGTTGTATTTCACAGTATGCGGATGTATGTCCCGTCTTCCAACGGTTCATCTGCCCCTCGTTTCTGGATGGGCTGCTCGAGATACGGGAAACGACGGGAATTACATTCGCCACTCCACCTGTTGGGGATCGGCGGAATAGAGTGAGCCTCATGTGTAAGCAAAGTAATGTACTAGGCATGCCCGATGTGCTACACAATGCTGTTCATGCTGATCGCACCATCTGCCCAAGGTTCGCCTCAAACGTATGCAAGCACAGCCGTGAGAGGTGATTAGACATGCGCCCTCTAGTACACTACACTCGTCGCTCAGCAGCAGCCTCTACACCGAAGATCACGCCCAAGAGCATCCAAGCAACAGCTCGAACTAGACACGCTCATAATACTCTGCAGTTTTGTCTCGCCAAGCCAGGCCCCCCCCAGAGGAGAAGAGTATCACAGCTGTCATTGTGTGAACAGGTCGTATAGTGAGCACGGCCCACCCATCCGCGACACAATACAGTCAACCCGTAGAACAAGGACGTGCGATACGGACGCAATGCCCTTGGAGGGCCATGCCGACACTTTGCGGGCGGGGCGCGGTGAGCGAAATAGGTCAAGGAGGGGCCGGAGGGGAAGGGTGCGAGGGCAGCCTCGGAAAGTTGCTCGCCCTCAGTCCTTACTGTGCGGGCTGACTGCAGCGGCTGAGCGGGGCGTTCTCCTCGACCAGCGAGCCACCCGGACCGGAGCACGCAACCACCCCGTGCCTCTATTCGTGGGCCGCGCCCTCTGCCGGAGGCGCGCGTCGTCAGAGCATCCTCCTCCTCCTCCTCCTCCTCCTCCTCCTCCTCCTCCTCCTCCTCCTCCTCCTCCTCCTCCCTCCTCTCCTCCTCCTCCTCCTCTCCCCCTCCCCTCCCCTCCCCCTCCCTCCCCCTCCTCCTCCTCCTCCTCCTCCTCCTCCTCCTCCTCCTCCTCCTCCTCCTGCATCTGCTGCCCCACGCATCGTTCTCTAAGAAGCCAGCTGCAATCGTTCTGCCGCGGTGAGGGCCACGCTTGGGGCACGACCGGTCCGAGGACCCCTGGCCTCCCGTCAGTGCTGCTGGCCACTGCCCCTCGTCGCGTTCCTCTTCACTCTTCCCCTCCTGCCCCTGCTTTGCGCCGTCATCCAGACTGACCCAATAAGTCCGGGCCTCCTCCTGGTCCTCACCGTTTTCATCTTCCTCACTCCCCGCCGTCCACCTCCTCCTCCTCCTCCTCCTCCTCCTCCTCCTCTCCTCCTCCTCCTCCTCCTCTCTCGCCTCCTCTCTCTCCTCCTGCTCCGCCTCCTCCTCCTCCTCTTCCTCGTCCTACTTCCCCTCTTCCCCCCCTTCCTCTTCCTCCTCCGCCTCATCATCCTCCCCCGTCCTTTCCCTACTCCCTACATCCCCTGGGCGCCTGAGACGAAGACAGCAGGCAACGGTCTCTCCCCGACGCAGGCCAGGACGACAGGGATGCTGTCGCGGCCTCGCCACATGAGGGGGGGAAAAGGAGGAGGAGGAGGAGGAGGAGGAGGAGGAGGAGGAGGAGGAGGAGGAGGAGGAGGAAGAGGAGGAGGAGGAAGAGGAGGAGGAGGAGGAGGAGGAGGTGAGGTAAGGTAAGGAAAGGCAAGGTAAAGTGAGGTAAGGTAAGGCAAGGTAAGGTAAGGTAAGGCAAAGTAAGGTAAGGTAGGTAAGGTAAGGTCGGACGTGAGGGGGTGAGATCGAAGTGGAACGGAGAGTCCCCCTACCGGGAAGCCGGTTTCGGTTTCGTGTTCGTGCGTGCCGTGCGTGCGGGCGAGGCGAAGCTGCGTGGGCGGGCGAGAAGAAAGTCTCCTCTGGCTGAGGCACGGCCGGACCAAATGATTCTTTTTCGGGGGCCGGTGGCCCGCGGTGTCCCGCTGGTGTCCCGCCTCCGGCTGAGGCGCGGCCGGACCAAATGATTCTTTTCTGGGGGCCGGTGGCCCGCGGTGTCCCGCCGGTGTCCCGTCGGTGTCCCGATGATGATGACGATGATGATGATGATGATGATGATGATGATGATGATGATGTCGATGGTGTTGATGATGATGATGATGATGATGATGATGATGGTGCTGGTGGTGATGGTGATGGTGTCCCGATGATGATGGCGATGATGATGTTGACGACGTTGATGATGTTGATGGTGATGATGATGGCCATGGTGGTGATGATGATGGCGTCCCGATGATGATGATGTTGATGATGCTGGTGTTGCTGCTGATGATGATGGTGGGGTCCCGATGATGATGATGATGCTGCTGCTGGTGATGATGTTGATGATTTTTCTACCGCAGGACTCACACCAATAATCCATATCCATATCCACCATCCGTGATCAGCAGGGCCCCGACACACTAGTCGGGGCCCACCAAGGGTGACACGGTGCGGGGGCGGGGGGGGCAGCAACAGCAGAAGGGGCAGCGAGGGGGGGGAAGGGAGGAAAGGGTACTGGCTGAAGCCCTTCGGCCACATCACTCCCTTGAATCACAGGCCGCGGTCGCCGTGGTACCTCGCGCGCGGGCGAGGGCGACCCATCCCTCCCCCCAACGGAAGGGGCAGGAGGTCCCGACCGAAGGGGGGGGGCGCACTTGGCACAGGGGGAGGACTGCAGTCGCCCGACAAGCGGGGTCCATGCCCCACAGAGACTGGACGGCTTGCGGGTCCGTCTCACCTGCGCAGACCCACAACCCAGGCACACAGGGACAGGGAAACATGCACGCGCCGACCACAGCAGCTCTCTAAGAGAGTAGGCGGAGGGCACTCCAGGAATGAGGCGAGAAGGGGCGGATGCAGGCGGCGGCTGGGGCGGCGGGCGGGGGCGGCGGGGGGCGGCGCGCGCGCGCCGTCGCCGCGCTCCCTCGACCCTCGACCGCGACAGGCGAAGGCCCCAACCCAAGCCACGCCACAAAGCAGCCAGCAACAACAGCACAGCGGAGCACGCAGGGGACACACACAGGGGAGGGACACAAGACGCCGCAACCGCAAGGGGGGCAAGGGGGGGGGGGCAGCAACAGAGGACCCAACACAAAGACCCGCACCGCGAAAGCATCAAACAACTAATCAAGGGGAGGAGAGGAAAGGCACGAGAGGAGAGAGCAATCACGCAACGTCAGGCTGACTCACACGTTGAGGCTGATTGGGTCTCACACCACGGAATACCTCGGCCACCTTCCTGTAGCGGCGAACGGAAAGCCGGAGCCGGGCATGGAATAGGGCCTTGGGGCACCCCCTGTTGTTTAGACGATGGCGGGCGTGGGTCTTCAGGAAAGCATCCAAAATAACTGCGCTGGCCAGACCGCGATCTTGCCCCCGGCGCGGCCCAAGAAGGGACAGCATCGGGAACCAACCTTCGTCGCTCTCGACCTGCTCCCGCCACAGTCCTGGAAGGTTCACGACGCCTGGGGGCCACCTAAGAGCAAGGGTCTTCAACTCAGGCCAGAACTTACAGTGGAGCATGTCTTCCGAGCCCCCAGACCTGAAGCAGCACCCCCGATCAACATTATGAAACCTGGCCGAGGTGCAAACTCCCCATGTGAGAAATCCGAATCATATCCATGGTGAGGTGGGTGCCCGACGCCTTTTCAACCGCCCGAAGCCGCGTGCGTAGCGTCAGCACCACAGGGATAGAAACCTCCAACGAAACCTCCAACAACCACCTTCCAATGCGCGTCTGCAAGTGAACCAGCGGCGCGATGTCTGACCTTAAACCACGCAAGTGTCGGTGAACACGGCCCTGGAGGTGCCTGCAGTCTCGCCTGATCCCAGAGTGGAGAATGTCGGCGGCATCATCATTAGTGTTTCGAATCATGGGGTTCCTCCACCAGACAGAACCAATTCGCCCAGGGATAAAGTTATCACCCAGGAGTCCCGCCGTAAGCTCCTCGAACACCTATGGGGCGCTGTCCAGCGCCCGATACTTCGATAACACCCTAAACATCGCAAGTTCGCCTAGTCCATGATCCCAAGGTCCACAGACTTCAGAGATACCCCAAGATGCCTCATCTGCGTGAGCATACAGTGGCTAAGTGCATGTCTG